GTTACTACTAGTAGTACTACTTCTACTGCTACTGCGGCTATCGCTGCCATTACGTGTCCTACTGCTGTCGTCACTATTACTACTGCTGCTGTTACTACTAGTAGTACTACTTCTACTGCTACTGCGGCTATCGCTGCCATTACGTGTCCTACTGCTGTCGTCACTATTACTACTGCTGCTGTTACTACTAGTAGTACTACTTCTACTGCTACTGCTGCTATCGCTGCCATTACGTGTCCTACTGCTGTCGTCACTATTACTACTGCTGTCGTTACTACTAGTAGTACTACTTCTACTGCTACTGCGGCTATTGCTGCCATTACCTGTACTACTGCTGTCATTACTATCACTGCCACTGCTGTTAATACTAAAGTACTACTTCTACTGCTACTGCTGCTATTGCTACCATTATGTGTACTACTGCTGTCATTACTATTACTACCGCTGCTATTACTACCACTGCTGCTGCCATTATTGCTGCTCCTTATGCTACTGCGATTGTTACTTTTACTACTGCTGTTATTACTGCTAGCATAACTACTACCTCCATGGCTGCTGCTGCTGCTGTTACTACTGTTACTACCATTGTGACGGCTGCTGCTTCTGCGACGGTGACCACTACGCTACGGCTGAGGCTGCCCTGCCGCTCTGCCCCTCACCCCTGCCTGTGCAACAGCATGTACCACTGTGCTCTCACTCTTCCGGCTGCTGCTGTGACAGCCGGGGCGCCATTTCTACTCCGAAGATTACGTCTCAGCTGGTGCAGTCGCCCATGGCAGGGTGAAGACGGACAGCTGCAGAAGCATGCTCAAGCTCCCCATTAATGACGAGCTGACTCCAACAAAGGCTCAGTAGTGCCAGTGTCAGGTGTAACATAAAAATACAGTGTCTCTTTACATTTGAATTTTGGATAAGGATTTTTTATTTTTTTGTCGTTGTTTTAAATATGACTTGCGTAATAGTTGGGACTTACTCATCCTAAAGCATTATTTGTTGTCTACCTGAGTTCAGAGCCACTTCGTGTCCCGTGGTTTATCTGGCCGCCCTTCTCAGGAGGTAGGGGCAACCATCCCTCATTCATCCCTGGCCAGCTGCTCTCACTCCCTCCCCCTGTCCTCGCAGGGCAGCACTGGGTGCCAGGTTCCTAGACAGAGCCCGGCAGGATTCCTGCTCCTCTGGGATGAAGGAGGGCCGTGGGGCTGGAGAAGAAAGCCAGGACAGGGCATGTCACCACCTAGAGACCAAGGGTTCCAGGTCCCAGCCCGCCCTAGTGAGTCTCCGCAGGCTGGAGCATCCCCGTCAGCTCCTGGCTCCAGGCCTGCCTCTGAAGAGCTGACGACACAGACCACACCCGAGACCAGGGCCCCGGCCATGAACAGAAGGGCATACTCAGAACCTCCCGATCTCAGGCCGTTAACGGGAAGGCCACAGCCCAAGCTCCTCTGACGCCTCGCGCGTCTTTCTTAGTGACAGCTTTGGGCATCTGTCCCCTAGCTCGGGCTCTGCTGGAGAGAAGGCAGGGCTCCAGCAGCCTTGGTGAGAGGGGAAGAAGGGCTGAAGGGTGAAACCCAGTCTGGCAGGTCCTAGTGGGAGAGGACATGCCTCAGTGGGGAATTCCCTGGAGTCAGAGGAAAGTTCTACCAGAATGAGGGAAGAAAAGAGGCTGCTTGATCTTCCTGCAGATGGCCCATTCATCAGGGGTCGTAAAGGAGCCACCCAGATGTAGAAGACCACCTGGCAACCTGTCTCAGAGTCTCCTGAATTCTCCCTCCCTGAATCCCTTTTGTTTAAAAGTACCTAGCCTAGGAACCAGCAGCTGGCATAGCAGTTATGTCACTGGACTCCCACATGGTCTTCAGCTGTTCAATTCCCAGACTCCGTGGCTTGAAACTCACACTGGGCACACATACGGTTGTGCCTGCCCAAGATCCCAGGGGGGAAATGAAGAAGAAGGGATAGCAGTGTGACCATCCCTTCTGGGGGGTGATTTCTCACTCTGTCTCTGTCTCCCTCCCCAGAGAGCACACACACCCTAAGGCAAAATCCTCTACAAAAATATAAAAAAGTCCATAACCCTTCCCCCCCCCAATCAGAACCTACACAATGCTTTGCATCTGGCCCTTTCTTCCCTTGGACAGTGAATAAATCTTTTCTACACATTTGCCCTCTGCGTCTGTGAGTTCTCTCCCAGCCCAGGACACAGATCCCCCAGCAGCGAGCACCACTCCACCTGTCAGCGGGGACACCAGCAAGACCATCAGGACTGAACAGCGGCTGGCTCATTTCTCCTTCCCCCAGCCAACAGGGGTGCTTCCTCCGGCAAGCGGGGAAACAGACAGCCCCAGAGGCCACTCCGCAGGGCCAGTCCTCCTTCCCAGCAGGCTTCCCGCTGAGCAACCGGACCACTGTGGGTTAAAGGACTTCAGAGCTGTTCAAGCCCTCTTGAAAGATCACCTGCATCTTTTTCTTTTTTTTTTCATTCTAGTCATCCATAAGTACAGGTGGTTTATTTTAACAAAAATCATCTTTGTGTCTTGGTTGTCAGATACCAAAGAAATAAAAACAAAAGCAAGGTTTGTTTAAATATGCAAAAAGCTATTTGTCCAAAGCCAGAACACTGCCAGCCATGAAAAGCCTGTTTGTGACAGATGAAGAGGTACCTGGCACTTCATAGCTGATTCTTGAAGGAGGCATATTTCAACAGATTAGATCTTTTGGGGAAAAGTAGATTGTCATCCGAGGGGACTGGAAAAAGTTCACGGATATAGTGAAATTAAAGTGTGAGTCTATGTTGGTGTACAAATTTTTTGAAATGGATAGATTTTTCAAAATACACACTTTCCAAGACCCTTTTGAAGACCCCCTCGGAGTTAAAGACTCGCAGTGAAAAACATCAGACTTTAAGCTACAGCCTCCCCAAGCTCCTAGAGGTCAAATGCCCGAGACAGGCCACTTCGTGCAGCCCATCTGCCTGCGCCCTGCTGGGGCCGCCAGGGGCCTTGGTGAGTGCTTGGACACCAGGACTGTTGTATCCTTTCCCTGAACACCCTTCGTGTCTCTTCCTCGGACGGCTGTACCCGTCCCTCGGGCACCATCAGCACTGCGGCTGCACAGAGGCAGAGGCGTGATTGCTCTAGGGAGAACAGCACTGCTCTGCCCCAGGCATGCTGTAAAGCTAAGCACTTGTTAAGGTCTTTGAGAGCCACCACACTCTCCGGAGTCCCTGCTGCTAGGAGCTCACTTTACAAATGAGGGCACAGAGAGGGTGAGGGACGAGCTGGTGGCACACGGGAAGACGGAGAAGCGGGATTGCCCTGGGGACTCTACCGCCTGTGGATCCTTCACCAGGAGCCCATGGTGCCGCGGACGTGCCTTCTGTTTTTCCAGTCCATGTGAGAGTTCCAGGCAGGGCAATGTATTACAGGGAAAGACCATGACCGCCACACAGACACACACACACACACACAGACATAATCCAATGAGCAGAGCACACCAGGAGGTCACTGGGATGAGAAAAGGACTCTTCATTTGAAGCAGAAAGGAAATAGCCAGTGGGGGCGGCGGGGCATGTGCTCAGAGGCCCCCAGACTCCCCCGGGTTCTGCCCTCCGTGCCTTCACACAGGTCACTGGCCCCACTGACCCAAGGGTTACCTCCTGAACCTTCCTAACCTGAAGGAGGGATTAACAGTGAAGTGCCTGGGAGGATAAAAAGAAAACAGGTGTGTCTGTGTGTGTGTGCATGTGTGTGCATGTGTGTGTGGATAGGTGCATCTGTGTGTGTGTGTGTGTGTGTGGTGTGGACAGGTGTCTACGTGGGGTGTGTGTATAGGTGTGTGCATGTGTGTGTATAGGTGTGTGCTCATGTGTGTGGTGTCAACAGGTCTGTGTGTGTGTGTGTGATATGGATAGGTGTGTGTGTGTGCTTGCGTGTGTATGGTCTGGATAGGTGTGTGTGTGTTTGTGTGTGTGTGGTGTGGACAGGTGTTTATGTGAGTGTGGGTGTGTATATAGGTGTGTGCATATGTGTATAGGTGTGTGTTCATGTGTGTGGTGTAGACAGGTGTGTGTGTACATGTGTGTGTACGTGTGTGTGTAGTATGGATATGTGTGTTCTTGTGTGTGTGCCTGCATGTGTGATATGGATAGCTGTGTGTGTGTGCTTGCGTGTGTGTGGTCTGGATAGGTGTGTGTGTGCTTGTGTGTGTGGTGTGGACAGGTGTCTATGTGAGTGTGGGTGTGTATATAGGTGTGTTCATATGTGTATAGGTGTGTGTTCATGGGTGTGGTGTAGACAGGTGTGTGTGTGTGTGTGTAGACAGGTGCATGTGTGTATGTGTGTGTGTACGTGTGTGTGTGTGTGTGTGTGTAGTATGGATATGTGTGTTCTTGTGTGTGTGCCTGCATGTGTGGTGTGGATAGATGTGTGTGTGCTTGCGTGTGTGTGGTCTGGATAGGTGTGTGTGCTTGTGTGTGTGTGGTATGGACAGGTGTGTGTATGCATTCATGTGTGTGTGGACAGGTATGTGTATGCATGCATGTGTGTGTGGACAGGTGTGTGTTTTAGACCATGGTGTTGCTAACAACAGAAATACTGAGCCTCAGAGATTTATAAGAATGGGGGTTTTGGGGGGCTAAGCTCAGGGGACCACAGAGCAAGCACTCCTGTGTTCACGTGTATGTCTGTGTCTCCTTATGACCCATGATTAACCAATCACAGGGTCCTCACCTCGATCCTAGTCTCCTCCCAAGGTCTCACCTCTCAACACCAGCCTTAGAAAAAATTTCTAGCCTCTTACTCCTGTTACAATGACTCACCAAATCTCAATTCATAAATTGTAAAGGGACATATTTGTTTATTTACTTACTTAATTTTTTAGAGAGATTTCTGCTATAGGGTGCTTGTGCTCACCAGAGAGACAGAGAGAGACAGAAGCAAGAAATCACTTCCAGGTAAGACAACCACATTGCAATCCCGTCTCCTCCAGACTCCTCTTGAGAGTTCGGGCACGCATGCGCCCGGCATGAGTTCTAAACCGCCAGTTCTGGGACTCGAACTGCAGTTCACTATGCTGGAGTCCAGTGGCATAACCATTACGCCATCTACTGGTCCCTGCGTTTAAACCAAACAAGTTGTTAGGGTTTAGAGGAAGACCCAGGAGGTTCCACCTCAAGAGAAAAAGGAAGGTTTATTGAAAGAAAGAGCATCTGGGTGTCTGGAGACCAAGGTGCCTCACCACCATCACCCCACAGGGGAGACACGATGGATTTATACAGGAGGAGAGTAGGGGGAGGGCACAAGAGTGGGTACATGCCACCGTTCCCTTATTGACCCGTCTGTGGGTTGGCTGCCTGCAAGGGAGGGCTCGACCAGAGGAGTCTGACAGGACAGCACCTCAGGCCATTTAGGGGCCGATCCAGCATGAGTACATGTATGTATATGTATATGTGCGACAGGACAGCACCTCAGGCCATTTAGGGGCCAATCCAGCATGAGTACATGTATGTATATGTGCATGTCTACGTGTGTGTGTATATGTATATGTACATGTGTGTATCTCTGTGTGTGTATGTATCTGTGTGTCTGTGTGTGTCTGTGTATGTGTGTGTCTGTGGCTATGTGTGTGTGTCTGTGTCTGTACCTGTGTCTGTGTGTGTATCTGTGTGTGTCTGTGTGTGTCTCTGTGCATGCCTCTGTGTGTGTGTGTGTGTGTGCTAACCTAAGAAGGCTGAG